TTTGGTTTAAGATCTTGCTTCTGGCCACATTCTCCCAAATTCTTCCCCTCTGAATGTTTTGATCAAATTCATCCACATATGGCCAAAGCACTCCCTCTGCTCACAATGAGGAAAAACATTCTTCACTGCATTTTCTAGCCCTTTACATGCATCTGTGTGTACTGCCAAAGGTGACACTGGCCCTATGCATCTTTTCAACTGCATCATGAACCATGTCCATGAAACCACTGTCTCTGACTGAAACAAACCAATAGCAACAGGGAACATCCAGTTGTGTCCATCTGAAGCATTGCATGCTGCCAATTGACCATTCCATTTGTTTGTCAAAAAAGATGAGTCTATGCTCAAATATGGACGACACCCTACTTTGAAGCCATCTATGCAAGGCTTTAAAGCCATAAAGAACTTGGAGAAAAGAACTTTACCATCCTCTGTTACCTCAGTATCTATCTCCACAACACTGCCAGGTGACCTCTTTTCTACCTCTGCTTTGAAGTTATAAAGCATCCTAAAAGTATTTGCCCAATCACCATATAATTTTTTCATTGCCCTCTGTTTTGCTTTCCACACTGTGGTATACTTCACCTTAATGGGGTACTACTTTTCCAAGTCCACTTTAAGTTTCTTTGCTGTAGTGTTTGGTTTCTTGGCTAAAATTGGAGTGATCCTTTCTGCAATCCAAAGCTGTGATGTCATGGTTGATACTCTCTGTGAACTTGTAATACAAGTATTTGGATTTGGGATTTGATTAACCCTAATGGTACTTCCATCAGGTTGAATTCTAGCAGATATGTACCACTTGCAAGGCCTGGCATTTCCATCAAAACCTCTGCACCTTGCATAAAATTTCTTTGTCAGTCCACATAGTCTTGGCATCAAACTCATGTTTGACTGCATAAGTCTTGAAACACATCCTAAACTCCTTCATGCTTGGGAACAACTTGCCTACTTCAATAACATGATTTTCTTTGTCATACATACTTACAAGCTCATCATCATGTGCATCATCTAGATCATCTGCATCATCTTTCATCAACTGTCCACCCACATCTTCACAAGCATCTATGTTAGCATCATTAGGCAAACTCGATTCATCCCTCTCTTCCTCATCTTGCCATCTCAGTGTTAGCCATTGGTGCAATGACCAAATCAGTAGTGTCTACTAATTGTAATGAATTCCAATCAACACAAACAACCCTTGCAGCACCATCACATCCCTCCTCTGCATCTTGCTCAGCCCCCTCTATTACTATCACTTCTTTCCTAACTGGAAGCTTCTGTTTCTTCTTCTTCTTCTCTTCATGTACAATTACAGTTTCTTCATCCTGTGAAGCAACTTTGTCATCTTCATCCATTTGAAAAGGTTCCTCAACCTCTGTGTCACCCTCATAATGCACCACTTCTTCCTCCTTAGATTCTTCATCATCTATTCCTTCCTCTTATATTTCATCATACTCTCTCTGTTTCTTTCCCTCATCCATCTCTATGTCATCCGCATCACCCATATAAAAAGGGTTTACATCACTGTCATCTTCACCTTCACAATCAGAACCACCACTGCCATCATATCCCTCTTCTTCTTCTATTTCCAAAACAGCTTTCACTTTTCCTTTTACATTCTTGCTCTCTTGTGTGCAAACACCAGTACCATGAGCTACACTGTAGCTGCTACTCTGACTTTCAAAGGCAACTCCTTCTTGATCAACAACATAGATGGGTGGCTCACTGGGATCATATAACACAGGCTCTTCATACACAACAGTGGATAATTCTTGCCTCTCAAACTGGCTGCAAGGAGGTGGACATGCCCTCACTAGCAAATTTATAACCTTACACTCCTCAACCTGCCTCTTTACTAATTGCAACTCAGCATTACTCTCTACCATCTCCAATCCTTTCTCCCCTAAATCTGGATTCTCAATGTGAAACAACAGATCATATTCACTAAATCCTTGGGTTTCCATCACTGCAATCATATCCAAATATGTTACATCTGAACTGCAGAGCTTCAGCTCAAACATTTTTGAAGCATCAAAACGGAACCTAACATCCAAAATGTCATCATACAAACTGCAAAATGAAATAACAGACAAAAATGGTTAACAATAAACAATTTTACTTAACAGATAGGCTAACATATAAACAAAAGCTTTGTTTAAGTTAACATATAAACAAAGCTTTGTTTAAGTTAACATATAAACAAGTTAACATATAAACAAAGCTTTTTTTAAGTTAACATATAAACAAAGCTTTTATTTACCCTTACAATATGAATAAACTAAACAATTACTACAAACTCAAACAATGTAAACAACTATCTCAATGCAACCCTAATTACAGAGTGGGTACTTAACCCTAAGACAGCAAACGAGTACTCACAACAAACTGATGTTTTGTATTTTCAGATAAGTAGTTAACAGAATTGTCCACTAATAGTGCTCTGCTCTAGTTAGGACTCATGTAATCCACTATGCTTCTCTGCTCTGCTCTGCTCTAGTTAGGTAACACCTAATGCCGCTCTGACAATTTGGACTAAGAAATAACAATGTAATCAACTAATGCTGCTCTGCTCTGCTCTAGTTAGGTAACACCTAATGCTGCTCTGCTCTAGTTAGGACTCATGTAATCCACTATAATTCTCTGCTCTAGTTAGGACTAACAATTAGAGTGCTAAACATGTAGGCAGTAAACCCTAACCCTAATCCCCAATTTTAGTTAGCAAGAATGGAACAGTGGAGCACTTACAGAACACCGCCGAAGCCATGAGTCCAGTGATGGGCGGTGCTAGGGTTGGCCACCCAAATTCGCGCCATCCGCAGCCTCTGCTCCATCGACAACACCGGCTCCGCAAAATCTTCATCCTCGCTACTGTACTCCGAGCTGGAGTAGCCACCACTGCCATCGAGGCCTAAGTGGGGGAGGTTGCCGCCGCTCGCATCGCCCCGACCCTCGCCGCCTGCCATCGTCACCGAGGCCATTGTCGCCTAGGGCACAACAGCCGCGGGGGAGAGGAGGGCGCGAGGGAGGAACAGCCGCGGGGGAGGGGACAGCGCCTAAGCAGTTCGATCCATGGCTACGGCGGCGTGGTGTGGCTGGCGGCGGGCCCGGTGAGGGAGCAAGGAGAAGGAAGAGGGCAGAGCGGGGTCTGGCTAGGTCGCACCACCGAGGCCTAAACGGTGCGAGCCGACCTCGTTCTAGTTAGTGCGCAGTCAGCGCGTGGGCACGCGCGCACTGGCCAGCGTGGCGCCTGACGGGCAGGCCCAACCGGTCAGATTCTCTGTCAATACGTATAAAACGCACTTTTAGCCTTCTTTGCAATGGCTCGCCCCAATCTTGGTACTGACATGTAAGAATTACCAATCTTGGTACCAATCTGCTTCCAATGCCCCAATTGTATCGTGGTACTTCTGTGCAATTTACTCAATATTAACTCAAGTTCAGAGAGAAATTTGTATTTTACTCACACAAGAAAATAGATCACAAAACATCAATAGGCAAAGTATTGTTGCCAATTTGCCACTGCTCGGGAGAGATGCCCAAGCTCAGCATCCATATTGGTCCAGCCACCGCTGGCGGCGGAGGCGCAGCTACTCCAGCACGACCACAGGCCTGGCGGCGACAACCTCGGCGAGCACAGGTTTTCTGAGATCTACCCCCGACCGTCCAGGGTGTCTGCCGTCACTGATCCCGCCCGTGCCGCCGTTCCTCGCCGCTCTCAGGTAGCCACTGTATAGCTGGCCAAATGGGCCGTTTTTTTCGGGCCGGCCCGTGAGCACGCCGGCACGGCCCGCCTTGGGCCAGGCACGGCACAGGCTAAACGGGCCGGGCCAGGCACGCGGCATGCCCTGGGCCGTGCCTGGGCCTGGAGGCTAGGCACGCGGGCCGGCACGGCACGGCACGATTACGTTTTTTTATTTTTTTATACATATATATATGGCCCAACATGTAAAAATAGGCTAAAAAACGCTCAGTGTGTCAAATAACAGGCTAAAATTATGCGGCCCACCATGCTAAACGGGCCAACATGCCGACCCATTTACTAACTGGGTCGGGCCTGGGCCTGGGGGCACAGCACGCGGGCCGGCACGGCACGACCCGTATAGTAATCGTGCCCTGGCGGGCCGTGCCGGGCCAGGCACGATTACGATGGGCCGGGCCATGCCGTGCCGG